TATATTTTATTCCTTCTTAGTTAAATTTACCCTTTTTAATTTTTCATATTTATTTCCTATCTTATTCATAGTCTTTTCCTTTTTTGTTTTCTTTAGGTCACGAGCAGTTGTCCAAGCATTTCACTACATATCGTACTGTGTATGACTGTGTACGTGACAAATAAAATTTGAATTTGAATTTGAATGCAACATGTTGTTTCTGCCTCTAAAAAAGACGAAAAGCTCCCTCAAACATACCAATCTGTTTTTTTGTTTTTCTCATGACTCTTGTGGAACATTTTGTAGGTGTGTCCGTTTGTACACGTCATCCCTGCACTTATCTAGAGGAAGGCAGGACCACAACACTGTGCCACTGGCAATCAAATAGCATCACACCCCGACGTTGTGTGACAGCAGTGGTTGTGATCGGTGGAGGCATCTGCCCCCAGTCCAGTCTTACAGAGGAAATCTGCTGACAGTTTGTTTTGTATTTGGTTTTTTCTGTTTGCCGATGATGGATCGTTGGCATGTCACACAAGCCTGACTCCACAGAGACAACAAACGTCTAGCTTCCTTGTGTTTTTTTAAATATATTATATGGCTTGTATTTTAGCACTTGCAGGCTATATATATTTTACACCTCCGAGTTATTTATGAACCGGTCCAAAAATCCACCTAAAAGAAGTGTTTATACCAAAATTTTGAGTGCATAGTAATACATTCATGGTTATTATATTTTAATGCTTTACACCACATTGGCTGTCACACGTTATGTCCTGTAGTAGACACAACCTTAACAGGCATAATTGAATAGTACAGTCATGATGGTGAGAGATCTGGTGTCATTAAACTGAAACTAATAAAACCACTCTTGTTCAGGGTATTTTCGGCATGATCTTATGAAGAACAACGAGCTAAAAAGGCAGGAAAGCTATCTTCTTAAATATTAAGTTGTTACACTAAATCTGTGAGACAAGTCATTTCAATCCTAAATCTGTCAATCACCAGGAATGTCAAATAAAAAGAGGAACAGGGACATCCGTCAGCCATAAAGCTTAAAAAAGAAAAAGAAAAAAGGGAAAAAAGTCTATCCCTTGTTTCTGGGATCAACTGTCACAGCCAGAGCAAGCTGGAGATGTGTCTTGTGGCACAAGTTTTGTTTGGTTACTGGTATATTACAACAGTAATGACTGAGAGACCTGTGACGTTCCTTTGATCTTACAGGGAAAGACACACCACTAGGGGAACTCCCACTCTGTCTTCCATGAATATGTCATTGATGCCTCAAGCCTTCATCCTGCAGAGTTTCCAGTGTACTGGCTGAGACTCATTTGCATAGATCAAATTTGCAAGACAAATTCAGCGCTGTGCTCTATCACCTCGCCTGTTGCTTGTGTCTGTGAGATAGAGACACACTCAGTACCTGCGTGTGGATTAGGGTGTGTTGTTCATAACACAAAGAGCTTATGTTTTAGTCTTGATTTTTTATTTTTTTATTTGTTGGTTTGGTTATTTGCTGGATGGATCAGATTTGGCAGATAACTGTGGCTGCCAGTGCTGAGACTGTTTCTGGTGTATGATTCTGACATTTGACACCACCGGTCAGACAGAAACTTGAAGCCATTTTACAGACATCTGAGACACATCAAACAAGTACACTCAAAATATTTCACTGCCCTGCACTCCATGCAAACGTGCAGGGATTTTGCATATCTTTACATACAGTTTCTAAAAAATGTTGTTTTGGGAGAGTATTTCTGACTGTTTCCTGTTTAGTAGATTTACAACTTTGAGGATACAGCACCTCAGGCAACAAGATATACAAATTAACTGTGGCTCCCACTTTGGTCACACACAACTTTAACACAGCTGCTATGTCTGGCAATTGTGTTAGAAAATCAAAATTACTCCCCTTAATTAAGGTTTTGTATGCCTCTGCTTCCATGTGGGATTGTTGCAGACACATGCAGGCATGCATGCTACCTTCATGTTCTCTGGTTTTCCCCCAGGCTTCCCCAGGCAGCACCACCCCTCCTCTTTCAGGACCCATGTCCTGTTTGCTCGGTTCCACCCAAGATGATCCTCTCCTTCCCTTTCTGTTGGTTTACCTGGGCAGGATTTTGATTTGCTCAGTCTCCTCACACCCACAAGCTGCAGAACCAGTAAGTCTAACTGTTGCAGAGGATAACAACAGACCCTACTGTAATATCAACAAATTTTGCATAGAGACCTCAGATTTGTTTGCCTGACAGTAAGCCCTCATGTTTCTACTCGTCCCTTCACAAACACTGATTTCTGCACCACTAACACAACTGAATACACACTTGCTCTTGAATTTATAATGTACGTTTTTATACTTTTTGTATATCTATTTATCTACAAGCCATCTAGTTCTTTAACTGTACAGTGGAGAGTTGCTGAATGTGGGCCACTGAGGTTGGTAAACTCAGACGTACATACAATAACAAAATATGTAATGCGCAACATTTTTAATATCAATGAAAATTGGAGAACAGATGTGAATTGTTGCAGTTTTGCATAGTGGAAAAACTGTAAGACTGGAGTCTTGTAGCGTGCCAGCTGTTCATTTTTTCACAGTCTTTTAGGCCCATGCATTGTGGATATAGATGCATGCATTGAACAACAGAAACTATTCGTTCTAATATACTAGTAACGATCCACTTACCTGAAAAACTGATGTCATCATATTTACATCACAGCATGGCAGGGAAGGTGGCGGTGGGTGGGAGCTTCAACTTTGGGTTCACTTTAAATGTTCACAGTGCTTCTTTAAGTTCTTGTCAGATTTAAACAGAGCAGGTGAAGATCTGATTTGCATTTAGCAGCTTAAACCTAACAGGTCTGGTGTTTGAGGAGGGCGGTGTGTCTTCGTTAGAATCGCCATTTGTTTGTTAAAGTAAATCCAACAGGCTGCCTGGGTGTGGTTAGAGCTGAGTAAGTAATCGGTACCTTTTCAACAACCTTTTATTAATCCCTGTATCCCATTAGGCTGAATGCACTGCAAAGGCCATTTAAAGGTGTGTAGGGAAAACATACAGTATGGCGGGGCAGACGGTTTGTGTTATTCTGATTTTTACTGAGATTACAGAGCTCCTTTTTGCTCTTGAACATAAAAACTGGACGATGTATTTGCTTCTAACTTTCCTTTAGCTGCTTTCTAGTCGACTCTCTGGAACGAATGGCTCCCTGCGCTTGGATTTGCATAATGTTCTGGGTGTTATTTGAATGCAGGATAACTCCACTACACACTATATCTAGTCTTGCGAGAGATTTCCACCTGGGGCCTGAGTCACAGTTTCATCCTGTATGTGTTTCTAACTATGAAAAGCAGAATAAACCAGTCAGGAAGGGAAAGTATGTTACAATGTTCATCACACTATGTGTGTATTTTACTGTGGGGTGACAAAGGACCAAGTATTATATTTTGCCTCATTCAAAAACAACAACCACAGACATTTGAGATTGCTTCAATATTTATTTGACTCTAAGCAATGGAACATTGTAACACTGCAACAACACAATGAAAAGTGCATCAGAATAAACATTCATTCATATCTTGAAAGATTTCTTTCAATGTAACTTACATAGTGCCTTTTAACCTTAACTGGGTTCTACTGAGCACTTCATAATGTGTTTCTCATGTGCCCATTCACAGTCACACACAGCTGCCGTGCAAGATGTTTGTAGGCCAAGAGGATCTTCCCCAAGGACACCTCAGCATTCGAAGGGGTCAAAGGCTGAGCCCTCAACCTTGTGATATGTTAAGAAAATGCTCTACCAGTTGAGCTACAGCTTCCCCCAGTGTCAGCATATTGTTAAATATTATTTATCACACAGGTTAAAAAACAACAACAACAACAAGAAAGAAAACACTTCCTCTTCAGTTTATGCCATGCTGGCTCTCGTGGTGCCTGCGCAGATCAACCTTGCGTTGGAAGCCCTTTGAACAAATGTCACACCCGAAGGGCTTAAATCCTGTGTGTTTCCGGCTGTGTGTGATCAGGTTGGAGCTTTGGCTGAAAGCTTTGCCACAAACTTGGCATTTGTGAGGTTTTTCACCTACAAAAAGAAAATGAAACACACAGAAGAACACATGCCGTAAGAAATCTACACCAGGGATATCAAACTCATTTTACATCATGGGCCACATACAGCCAGCTTTCGTCTTATGTGGATTGGACCAGTGAAACTCCCCTTTCTGTCAGTTTAAACGGCATTTTACAGGAGAAAAAGAAGCACAATGTCCACAATGCATCTCAGTTTTTCTACATGAGAAAGAAATACTGCTGGAGTGAATGAAGGAAATCTGTCAGTACAATTAAGTAGCTCACTCCCCACAACTCCCCAAATCCAAAATGTATGCCCTTATACATATTTCCCAAACCTGTCAAGTGGGCCAGACTGGAGTCTTTGCCAGGCCAACTCTGGCCCATGGGCCTTAAGCTTGACACCCCTGATCTGCACAATCAAAACTTGGACAATTTTCAAGTGATTTGTATAAAACTGTTATAGTTTTCTTTTCACCGCTTTGGTAAAATCAGGTTTTCCAACATTACCAAAAATGGTGCCAAGCTTTTTCGTCATACAGATAACGTTTTTCATTAAAACCATGAGAGAAGAATCAGGCCATTGTTCAGATTTGTCAGAGACATACTGGCAACAAATATAAACTAAAGTTCCTTTTACAGAGCTCTGTGAAGAGGAAACCCAGATATGCAAATCAACAGGATATTTGTTTAAGCTTCTTTTTTCTGATTTATCAGCAGTTATATTACTCCTAGAAATAGTCCCTACATGCTCGACCTGGAAAGCAGGTGATTGCTGAAGATGGATCATATGCAGGGTCACACTGATGGTCACAAACTGTGAGAATGTTAAGACATTTACCAGTGTGTATGTAGGTGTGCTTTTTCATATCAGATTTCTGATGAAATCTCTTGCCACAGTACTGGCAGGGGTAAGGCCTGGTGTCGGAGTGGATAAGCAGGTGTGTCGAGAGCGTGGATGAACGCTTGAAGGATTTGCCGCACATCTTGCACTCGAAACTTTTTTCCTGATCAAGGACAAAGACAAAAAAAGTGAGGCACAATAATAAGTTAGTGAATAAATGTCAGAAAAAAATTTGTCTTTAAAAGTTCATTCCAATAATTTTAGTAGATTTTTGGGATCTTTTGATGGGGAAAATTGTAATAAAGGAAATGTATATGTTCACATTTCCTTCATTGTTTCTACTTTAAATGATCAAGAGCATTTTACGAATAGGAACTATAGTTGTGTTCACTAAATGTAAGCATGAATCTTGAAAGCTGTCAGCATATCAGACAAGTAGAGTAAAAAACTGAAGCCTAATCCACACTAAAGATTTAAAGGCCAAGATGTGTTGTCCTCTGCATATTCAGGTCCCTAAACTCTTTAAACACTGAAATAATTCCTGCTTCATCAGTATACCTGAGAGTGGACGTTCATGTGCTGCTCCAGGCTGACAGCATGACCAAATGTTTTTCTGCAGATGCTGCAGCCAAACGGCCTCATTCCACTGTGAGACCTTCTGACATGAACCTCCAGTCCATGGGAAGTTGAAAATACCTAGAACACAGTTTGCCCATAATTGCACTCGTCAGTGGAGTCAAAGTGACAAAGTGAAAGCCGTGAAATATGTCTGCACCTGACATAACAGCTTCGCGAGCTGCACAACCAGTTTTAAGCCTTTGATCTTGGCCTAAGCTGCGGTACCTACCTTGTCACAGGTGATACAGTGATAGGTGTTCGAAGAAGGCGAGTAGTGAGTGCTGCAGTCCAGAGGCTGCTGAGGCTGAGGACTACGGTTGATGTTGGTGCTGTACAGGTTACTGGCATGCTGCAGCACTGTGGGGCTGAAACTCATCTGACGGAGCTTGTAGGAAGGAGACAATGTCTCCCAGGCATAAGGTTGGAAGTCAGCCAAGTGAGGCTCTAAAGGGCGCACACATAAGAGACAAAAAAAAGCATATCTTATCTTTGTTATAGATGCCTTTTTAAAAAGTTTGCATCAGGGGTGTTTTTCTAGTAGCACAATTTTTTCAGTGTGATGGTACAGGGTTTATGAAGACTGAGCTGGGGTTCATTGGAAATAGTTTAAAAAGGCTTGAAAATTGTTTGAAATTCAGCGACTTCTAATGATTTTAACTGTGAATAGACCAATAGTCTCTAAAAGCATGCATCAGATGACATGGCTGCCACATAACAACAGTACACATATGTTGGATTCTTTTAGGTAGCAGAAGTTAAAAAGCTTCAGCTAACCTAAAATTCAACTAATTAGAAAATAGTTGGCAGTGAAGCAAACCACTGTAAGACATGAAAGGGCCAATCCAGCCTAAAAATATATTGCTTTATATCTGTCAAATCACACCCATGTCATTTTTTTCCCAATCTCGTAGATGTAAGCATAAGGCTATAATTCTATTTCAGCATGAAAGCATGAAATATTACTGTTTTTCCTTATAGTGTTTTTCTTGAAAACAAAAAGGATCCTGTGCATTAAAGATGTACATATCTGTTTCTTATTTGGATAAGACGTAATGCAAAATTGAGTGGAATGCCAGTGCAAACAGAAACTTCTACACATGAAAAACAAAGCCAAGGTGGAAGTGCTGGATACCTCCTAGCATGAAAAACATGTTTAACAACTGATATTAAAACTATATGCTGACAATGGAGCTGAATATTTTTACAGTGCATTCACCGATACTGGGGTTAACTGGACTGCTGTCCTGACACACAGACAGCTTTTGTGATGTTAGTGCCTTTTCATGCTCATTAATGGAACAATTTTCTTTTTTTTCTTTTAAAAAAAAACAAACACACTTTTATTTATCCCTTAAGAGTAAATCTTTTTCAGAGTAGACTTGGCCAAGACTGCACACCATTACAATGTTACAAAATAAAAATCAAATTACCTCAAAACACATCAAACAAAATATTATGTCAGAGTCAAAATAATACAAAAACAAGGTCCAGCTTATGAATAGCAGTTACACTCTTCAGTTACAGCAGTCTGATTAATAATCTGATTGATAACCATGTGGTACAGACCAAAGAGTTTCTACTTCAGGTTTTGTGAGTGAAATTAGTGTTTTGTTAGTTAGCTACTCAGTCTAAGGGAATAACCTTTAACCCTTTTTCAACCCGAATATGCAAATCTTTAATAAAGAAATAAATATATAAAACTGTGGTCAAAATGCCAACGTTGAAGCTTTAAAATGCTTTCCAAAACTAATGGGCCACGTCTACTTCCACCTCTGATATGCAGTCTCTATTCCAGCCTAGTCTTTTGACTTCCAGATGGCAAGTTTTTAAACTTACCTGGCAGGTAGTACGGCTGTGTCTGAGTCATGAGAGGTCTGCTTGGCTCTGGGTGAAGCGGTAAGGGACATTCAAGCTCCGGTTCCTCCTTAGTAAGTAAGCGGGGGGCTTCAGGGGAAGATTGCCCCTCTGACTTAGGCCTGTCTGAAATGTCTGTGGTCTGAACGGCTGCTGGGATTTCTGCAAATCCAAAACAAAGTGAAGTTCGGTTGATTAGAGAGAAAGTAAATCTAAATTAATATCTTCTTTTGTTCAATTAGGTATTTTCTTTAATAAGAAAAAGCAACAAATAACATCAGAAGTTTTTTCTTTTGTGTTTTTTTTTAATTTGCAAAAACAAATAAAAATTTGTTTAAGACGGCAAGGAGATTTGGGGTTGCGATAAAAAGCAGTTACATCCCGCAGCAGTAATTTCATTTAATTATTTTAATAGGGCCCCGTTCTTCACCTGTTCACATCAACTCACTTCTTTTTTTAAAGACTTACCAGATGTTGCGGAGGCCTCCGAGTCATCTTCATCGAAATTTTTTTGCCTGTAGGAAGTGAACTTTTTGCTTCTTACCATAAACGACAGAGGCATGGTGATCCTAGACCGGAAAAGTATAATTAAAAATTATTTTTTTAAAAAGATGATGCTTTTACGTAGGCTTTTACGTCAACGTCAAGAGTATAACAATAAATAAATACACTTAAACTCCCGGAAATTCTCCTCTTATTTGAATTTCAATGATCTCAAAGCTTCACATGAAATGATTTCAGTGCGTCTAATTATTTCATACCGTTAAAAATCCGCGAAGATTAGGAAAAAAGAAAAAGTCCTCCTGCTGACTTTGTAGCTCCTCGCAGCTTCTAGAGACGAAAACAGACGCAAACGGGGAGAAAAATAACCCAGTTAATATTTCCTTTTTTCCTGGAAGAAAAACAAGTTTCAGAGGAGAGATGCGTCGATTCCATAAGTCTTTGAAAAGCAGTGTAAACCTATCAGGTTTATACCTCCCGCTCATCCCCCCTCCCTGATTTTCAATCTCGCAGCGGAATCTGACTGTGGTTTTAGCCAATGAAAAGGCCAAACGGCAGGTGGAAATTTGCTTAGAAAAACACAGGGCCTTAGGAACAGTTATACAAAGCACACAGTACTCACAGGACCAAAAACAACAAAAAATGCCGGAACCAAAGGTAAAATATATGTGCAGTAGGTTTACAGGCAAAAGACCAATATAGTGATATGCTCGGCGAATTATTATTTGTTTCTTTTTTTTAAAAGGCTTTTAGACTTCGACCGTCACCAGCAAAGCAAAACCAAATTCAGCTAAATAAAAAAAGCTTAAAATAATAAATATAAACTGGAATTTGAAATTACAAAACGAATTAATTTAATAAATAAATATTTTCATCGCTCCGTGTTTGATTTACAGGATTTAATTGCAGTAAAGATGTATGATTGCGTGCAAGATTTAAACGGCTAAAAGATCCTATGAGATTGTAGGACCTCCAAAGATACACACACCAAACCAGTCCGGAGATTAACCGTGTTGACTCTTTTTGTGTACTTTTATCGAAGCTTGTCTTTATTCGTGTATGACAGATTTCCCGGCAGTCTGTTTTAGATTCACACAAGAGGAGGTCCGAATGACAGGAGACCTATAATGTGAGAGGTCTGGGCTTTTCTGGTTGAAATGAAAATATCAGCTTATTAAATCGCATAACTGTCGTCAGATTAAAGGAAGGAGGGAGAAAACGTTTTGTGGAGAAGGGCGAGAAATGCGAGCGCGCCATCTTGTGGATAACGTGTGCATTTTCAATGAGGATCAT